TCGCTATATCGCCCATGCATCACATCACAATATATATAGCATAACATATCTCAACATGGCATATCTCATAATATACCCATGCATCATATCTATCTATTTATGGAGAGAGAGGAACTACGTACCCTGTTTCCTTAAAAGAAAACTCCTTCAGTCTTCTAGCCAACTCAATTTCAGTAGCTGCAGCTCCAGGTACTATACAATTGTCCCTATACATTGCCTAGCACAAAGATGCATAAAGCCATATTCAGATTAGCTTCTTAAAGTCCAGTAGAAACTGATGCAATACTTTTTATAAAAGATGACCTACCTAAAATAAGTATCATAGATGTGTTGGACAGAATTACCTTGTATGTATTCACACCATCGTCAACTGCTCTTTCAAGGTCATCTAATATACTATCGGTACTTCCTCATAGGACCACAGTGCATATAGAGTTTCCACTTTCTTCATTTCTCACAATGGTGACCTATTATTTATTAGATATAAAGATCATGTTGGGAAAGAAGAAGATGAAGAAATGTAAGGAAAAAGCCCAAAAAAATAAAACCGAAAGCAGCTTGATCATACCCTAACACCGCCAATTTCCTCCACAGACACAGAATCAATATACCCCAAATCACAATGATAGAATTCCACATCACTTTAATGAAATATAAAAGTCATGGAATATTTTGGTTGCACAATGCCTTAGTTTCTACTGATTTTTTTTTTAAATTATAAAAGCTTGCCTAAATTGCTCACCTTACCACATTTTGCAGCAGAGTTTCTATTTTCTAATTGGTTTCCTTCAATTTTGTATGTTTGACCAATTTTTCCAAACTCTTTTCAAGTCCTTCACTTCTCTTGTTATATTGGTCGATTCTTTTTTACCAATTATTTAGAATCGACCAATACAACAAGAGAAGTGAAATTCCATGCCTACAGTGAGGAGTTCCCTATCATGGGATGAAATTTTACTATCCAAAGCATGCATTCGAACTGTTTCTTGAAGCAACATAAAGAAACTTGTGCCATTAAAGAAACAATTTCTTGAAGTCACTAATGTCTTCATATGAAGTTTCAGATATCATTGATAGAATGCCAAGATAAAACAAATTACCTTCTCTGTTAGATATTTGAAAGCCACCTTCTTCTGTCCTGCTTCATATATATTGCATTGTGAATATATCTGAAGCCAAAAAACCATAAACATTTCATAAGAAGTGGCCAACCATGTATAATATCTTTTAACACCTTAAAATTCAAACCAACAAAAAAGAAGAAAGAGGAGACAGATGATGAAGAAAGCAGCAGCTGAAAGCATCTTTACCTGTGATTCTACACTGGCACATACAGCATAAATGGCCCAGTTTCTGGTGTAATTATTATATAAATACAAAGTGCAGAAAACCTTTTCAATAAAAGAAAAATTACGAAAAAAGAAGGGGTTTGTAGAGGGTTCCCATAAATTGAAGTTCTCAACAAATCAATAGGATGTTAAATAAAATAAAAAATAGTTAATGGGAACTACGGTTGACAAAGAAGATAACAAACTACAAAATTCACTTTGACAAGTGCACTAATGACAGGATATAACCAATTCCTACATAAATATTTACTGAATCAAATAGGATCAGGATGGGAAGAACCAATAGAAAGTTTGGGAGGGCGCTGGACTCAAATCAGAAAAGGAAAAATTAAAAGAATTAAAAGTCATCTACAGTAGTTTCCATCAGTTCAAACCAACAATCAAGGCCGAAACTAATACCCAAGGTAGATCTATTAAGACATTCTAAAAGAGACATAAAACTCACATAGTCAGTAAATGTTTCTATGGCCGTGCCACCTTCACCTTCTTCTCACTCCACTTCAACGGCTACCTAAGAGGTTTTGACATAGGAAAAGGAATTAATACTTAAGCACTTTTGTGTAATATACAAATTTATCTCAGTTCGCACACTATTTTCCATTAAAAAGTTGCCAGTAAGGCCTGAAGAAGCACTACCAACAATGCCAGTAGAGTCTGTGGCTTTCTCCAAAGTACTTCCAGCAGCTAAACTCACAAGTATGGGGAAAAAAATATCAGAGTCATAGATGAAGAAAATATAAAAAAAAATCATGAGGAATGTGCTTCAAACATGTAAGAATGTAAGCAAATTTAATGTAGGAAATAACAGTGGAACTCTTTTATTGATTAAATACTTCTGTGACCCCTAAGACTCCAGAGTAACAAGTTAAATAGGTATACCAAAAAAAATTGGTGCATCATCTCATTCGAATCAATCGCATAAATCTGAATCATGGATAAGATTTCAGCAACTACAAAGGACAGAGTATGTCTGATCATGGTGGATTCGGAAATCTTCTAGGTCATGACAGATACCTGCCTCAAGCTTAGGTCTCTTAATAAGTTTAGAAATTTAATCAGCAATTGAAGATTGACCATCAGATAAAGATGTGATTTCCCGAAGACAAAAATTTAAAACCAGGAATTAAAAGTCACGATGTGCTGTTGTGTTGAAGAGAAGCCAGTTTCAAGAAATTGATACCTCGTTAGTGCAGATGGTGGTGGCGGTGGAGGTGGCGGTGCAGATGGTGGTGGCGGTGGAGCTTCGAAATCAAAATCGAAATCGAAATCAGAGATTCAGATGAAATCGAAATCAGAGAAATCGAGCAGGTGCAAACAATGGTGGCGGTGGAGCTTCGATATCAAAATCGAAATCGCTCTAAATCTCAAAGATGAATCTGTGAGAATGATAACAGTTCACAGAGGGTTGAGAGAGACGAGATTTGAAGGCATGAGGATTCCAAATAAGGGTTTACAAAGGGCTTTAACAATTATTCTCAGATTCAAAATAGACTTTGAAATTGAGAGAGAGAATCACCGAAACATTAAATTTCGAAATCGAAGTCGAGAGAGAACTTCGAAATCAAAATCAAAATTGAAATTGTATCATTCTGAGATGAATCAGCGAGAGATGAATCGATCCATTGAGAGGGTTTAGAGAAAGAGAGAGAGAGAGCGAACGAGAGACTGAAAGAGACTAGGGCTTCAGAGGGTTGCCATTTAAGGGAGAGAGAGGGGACATTCGAAGGCGCTTTTAAATGCTTGAAACGATGCCGTTTTATTTTTTAAAATAGCGACGTTTAAGAAACGTCGTTAAATATTATAAAATGTGACGTTTAATAAAACGCCGTTAAATAAACGTCGCCAAAACTCATTTTTCCTGCAGTGATTTTAGCTAAATTGTTTCAAAAATCCTCAAATTAGTGATTTTGCATTAAGAAAAAAAAAACTACCAGTAAATTTGTGCTATGCATGGGAATTTAAAAAATTCAAAATTCAACAAATAAGTTTTATATTTGAAATAATTCATGTTTTAGTTTTTTTAAACATTATTTTATGTATGACATAAATATCTCAAAAAAGTTATGTCTCTATTACATTTAGTTATATGTTGTGACTATAAATTGTTTGAAATATAATAATGATAAAATAAAAAAGAGATAATTACCTAAAAGTCCTATCAACATGTTTGGTTGTAACTTAGGTTCTATCAAAATTTTTTTGAACCAACAAGTCCCATTTGTAGGTAACAACACGTGTTTGCCCTTTAACATAAACAACTGTATATAAAATTCCATTTACGTTATTTACTAGAAAGAAAAAAGAAATCAGTTAACAGATCAGTTGTGGAAGTTGCTGAAGATTCGAATCGTGAACGATCTTGAAGGATTTATTGCTTTGGTTCGCTATTATACGTATTTGATTTCTCGATTTTGATTCGAATAGGAAAGGATCTTGAAGGATTTCTTAGTTTGGTTCGCTTTTTGAGTTGAAATCTGTTGGAGTTTGTTATGTGCGATTTCGATTTATAAATTGAAGAATTGATTTGCTGGATATTTGATCTTCGATCTGGTTTATAGGTATGTATTGTTTCGATTTTGTATATTATGTTTTTTTAGAATTTTCTTTAGTTTTGATTGAATTTATTTATGAGAATATGTTGAATAATTTTGTTTTTACAAATTGAAGACGTGATTTGTTGGATGATTTCTCGGTTTGGTTATTTATTTTATGAATTGAAAACGTGATTTGTGAAGTATTTGTATTGTTATGAAGTTTTTTGTTCTGGTGTTTATTGTTATGAAGTATTTGTGAAAACTAGAAAGTTCTTAGTATTGTTATGAAGTATTTGTTCTGGTTTTTATTGATGCGATCTTTTTTCTTGTTTAGATTGAAAGATGAGTGAAGGTTGTACGAGTGCGCCTATTTTTTTGTTGTGCAAGTATAATGGTTGCACATTTGCAATTAAGATTGATCAAAATGTTACATATGATAAGTTGGTTGAGAAGCTATGTTTGAAATGGGATAATTTGCAATCTGATAATATTTGTCTATCTTACTCATTGCCTGGACATCCTAATTGTACATTGGACAACAATGAGGATTTAGATTTGTTGTTGGCATTAGTTGTGCGTTTTGATTCAAAGTGTATTGATGTTGTTGTGAGAGTAAAAGACTCAACCATTGACTGTGGTTATCTCAACCAAAGATTGGATTATGGAGAAAGAGAGTCATTGTTGGATCTTGAAGTTTGTGATATTGCATTGTCTCATGACAGCAGTAAGTCTGTGAACTTGTCAAACAGAGCATCTACATCCTCCAAAAGGAATTCGAGGTTGGAGGTTGAAGAAGAGGTTGATATGTTATCATCATTTTGTCGACACAAGGAAAAAGTACTGTTGTCTGCTGGTTGGGCAGTTAGTATTACACATGTAGGAAAGGAATTTGAAGGTGGAATTGTTGAATTTCGTAATGCATTGTCGAAGTTTTCTATTGAGTACGAATTTGATTTCATATTTGTTAAGAATGATAAAGTTCGTGTTACCACACAATGTTTGTTTAGAGAGACAAAAGGTTATATATGGAATGTTCATGGTAGAGTGGAGAATGCTAATGGGTTCTTTTATAGAAGGAAGTTGAACAATGTCCACACGTGGTGCTGAAGTACGTACGATGAATCATTCTCGTATGAGTTCTGATTTAGTTACTGATTTGATTGTTGAAGGTGTTCATGATAATCCATTGACACGTCCAGATCATGTTGTTTGGGATTTTAAGTTAGGGTATGGGCTGAGAGTTAGTTATCGTCAAGCTTGGTTGGGGTTAGAGAAAGCAAAATGTGAGATTTTTGGAGACTACTTAATGTCATTTGACCAGTTAAGATGGTATGTGGATGTTGCAAAGAGTTGTAATCTAGGGAGCTACATTAAGTTTAAGTGTAATGATGATACTAAACGGTTTAAGAGATTATTTGTTTCTTTTCATGGTTCCATTAGTGGATTTGATTATTGTCGATCTCTCTTATTCCTTGATGGCACATTTTTGAAGGGAAGATTTAGAGGAAATTTACTTGCTGCCACAGGAAAAGATGGAAATCAAGGTACATAAGAAATTTGTTTTCTCTGTTCTAAAATTGAGAAAGTTCTCAGTTTAGAAATATGATTGAATGTTTTAAATTTTATATAATATTGTTGTTGTATATGCATTTTTATTTTTTCAGTTATTCATTTTAGTGTTTGATATTTTGAATGTTAAAGTGTTACCATTTTCTAAGAATAATAGAATATTTTCATTTTTTCTATTTTGTACATGCAGGGTTCTTTCCTGTTTGTTTTGTAGTTGCTGGCTCAGAGAATCAAGATAACTGGCGTTGGTTTTTGGAGCATTTGAGTAGAATTGTTTCACCATAACGAAATATTACATTTGTGTCAGATCGTAACCTTGGATTAGTTGAAGTATTGCCAAAGGTTTTCCCAATGACTTTCCATGCTTATTGTTTATATCATTTGAAGATGAACTTGATGCATCATTTGCGTGGTATGTTTCATGGATTGAAAGAAAAGCTGATCACTCTGTTTGGGAAATGTGCATATGCTCCAACTGACGAAACATTTCATCAATGTTTGGTTGAGTTAAAGACTAAAGGTGGGTCAAGAGTTGAAAAGTTTTTAGATGACATACCATATGATCATTGGAGTAATGCATATTTTCGAGGGCAATGCTTTGGAGAGATGTGGTCAAATGTAGCTGAATATTTCAATTCGTAGATACGAGAAGAACGCCACTTGCCTATCACAAAGTTGATTGATAGTGTAAGAATTAAGTTGATGAGGAAAATTGCTAAGAGGACAAAATTTGTTAATAAATGGAATGATTTGATATGCCCTAAAATGGAGTCCAAGTTGCATGATGGTTTTAATACTTCGAGGCCATGGATTGTTAGTTCATCTGGAAATGATGTCTATGAGGTGCATTCACATCCATCTGTTTCAGTTGACATTAGTAGAGGAATATGTTCTTGTGGCGAGTGGCAGTTGAAAGGGTTTCCATGTGCACATGCAGTTGGTGCTATACAAATGAGTGGACATGATTTGAGTTTATTTGTTGATCAATACTTCTATGTTCAAAGTTATCAAGAGTCCTATTCTTTTCCCATATATCATGTTCCTTCAATTTGGAAACCAGATTGTAATGTTGATGGTGATAGTGAAGTTGTTCTTTCTCCTTTGTCTAAGAAGCAACCAGGAAGGCCAAATAAGAAGAGGATTCGTTAGATGTGGGAAGGTTGACAATCACAATAAGATATCGTGTAAGGAAGCTTTGTGATTTTTTGTAGATTGTTAGTTCATCTGGAAATGATGTCTATGAGGTGCATTCACATCCATCTGTTTCAGTTGACATTAGTAGACGAATATGTTCTTGTGGCGAGTGGCAGTTGAAAGGGTTTCCATGTGCACATGCAGTTGGTGCTATACAAATGAGTGGACATGATTTGAGTTTATTTGTTGATCAATACTTCTATGTTCAAAGTTATCAAGAGTCCTATTCTTTTCCCATATATCATGTTCCTTCAATTTGGAAACCAGATTGTAATGTTGATGGTGATAGTGAAGTTGTTCTTCCTCCTTTGTCTAAGAAGCAACCAGGAAGGCCAAATAAGAAGAGGATTCGTTTGAATGGTGAGAAAGTAAGGCAAATTACTTGTACTAGATGTGGGAAGGTTGGCAATCACAATAAGAAATCGTGTAAGGAGGCTTTGTGATTTTTTGTAGCTGTTTTGTGATTGTAAAAATTTCGTATTCATAAATTTCTTGAAGTAGCAGTTTGTATTGTTGAGCGCTGAGTAATAATCTTCTATGTTTTGAATAAAGTGACATTGAATTGAAAGTGAAAATATTCTTAGTTTCAAATTTTAATTTTGAAATTGTTTGTGATAATATTGTTTGGTTGGCTTTCGTAAATAAACTTGACTGTTGAATCTTTGTTTTGAAGATTATGTGAACACTGTATAAAAAGTGAACATATTCTCAGTTTAAGTTTTTAGTTCAAAATAGCTAATTTTGTGATGATCGTGTGAGGCTCTTGTTATGAATTGGAACTAGTTATAAATGTGATCAATTGAATGAATGTAAATTAATATTCTAAATAGATGTGGTCAATGCTATATGTTTTGATTAAAGTAACAGTGGACTGAAAGTGAAAATATTCTTTGTTTCGAATTTAAGTTTTTCAAATTGTCATAATATTGTGAGGTAGCAAATAAATTGTTGTAATAATATTGTTGTTTGAAAATTGAGTGATCTGTATAAAACTGAAAATATTCTCAGTTTTAAAGTTTCTAAGTTTGAAAATAAGTGATTGTGACAATATTGTGAGGCAACAAAACACTGCATAAAAACTGAAAATATAAACAAAAACATCAACAAAGCACTGATTGTGATACAATAAAGTCTTGTGTCCACTATTTTCACATGCAATACTATTTTCACTTCCCATATAGTAGTGTGAGGAATAGGATAATAGAAACTAAGAATATGGACAAAAACATCAACAAAGCTCGGGTGTATATATCTTTGAGAGTATGACAAAATATTCCATTACACATCATAGAAATTGTAATATGTTTGTTAGGTAATATGCTTAGAACTATTTACAAAAACATTAGTCATTGTATCAGAGTGTTATAAAAAAGAGTTCATTGAGTTACACATCAAAAAAGATTTCATTGAATGTTGCAATCCTGACTCTACTTGACTCTGATTGATCTTTGTGGATCACTGAGGAACTCATGTACCATGTCTGTTCTGAGTCTTGTGGATGTGCCTAGTGGTAATGTGTTTCGAATTAGTTAATGCCTCATGTGTTGTCTTATGATGTAGCAAACAATAATTCCACAGTCATTCCTACAGAAATCATTTTTGACACAGTTAGGGAAAAAACAAATTTTTTTGAAAAAGATATTAAAATTTGGTAGTTATAATAAAATAACATACGTCATTGCTTCTTGTTGAGGGTTGTCTTTGGTTGATTCAATCTTGACATCAGGATTCCATGCTTTTTCTGCTTGACAAGGTGTATCCTTCATGTATTGATGGATGATTTTTTGCTGTAAAAAACATCAATATAAAGTATGTAATGATTTACATCTGATTATTGTAATGGTAATCTAAAATTGTTCTTACTAGTTGATTTGCAACGTTGTAGTGCTTGTCCTTTCCTTTTCTTGGTCTCAAAGAGTTGAAATGTTTCCAAGTCCCCAAGTGTTTGTCGATAACAAGTAATATCCAATGATTAAAATTGTGGATGGGGATATGGATGTATCTAGATGGAAGGGATTCTTGCAAAGTATTTTTCAAAATCTTTTTCCTTTGTTCTAAAGTTTTCTTCTTCAACATTGGCTGTTTTTTTACAAAAAATATGTGAATATTCATAGTAATGGTACGAACTCAATATTCAAATGTCGATGAAAAACAACAAAGCATGATTAACTACGATTTATAACTCAAATTGTTTTGAAATTTGAGTATATTCCCAGCAATGATACCAAAATCAAAATTTGAGAACATTCACAACAATGATAACAAACACAAAAAATCTACTTTGAAACCAAAATTGAACGGAAGATAAAGTATAGAATTGACACATGCACATTTATTCCTTACCCAATATAGACTTGATAGTATGAAAGACTTGCCATTGTGCTCTGCTCCATCACCAGAATGCTGTGCTTGTGGTTTTCTTTCAAGAATCTCAACATATGCATCAATTGTCTATCAAATTGAAACACAAAAGTGATGTTAACAAATTAATGAGAAGTTTTTCAGTGTTAAAATATTACAAATATTATACGTACACAGCTAGATATGTCTGTCCCTTTTACTAAGTTCTTGATATCATTAATAAACACACAATTGTCATAACTTGCGCCAAACCATATACAAGCACTACAAAACAATAAAAAATGTGTTAATAATTAAGTCAAAATATTTTTAGAAAACAGAGCTATTTCTCAGTTTCATTTCATGTATTTGTACTACATGAAAAATTGAAAGATTTATGTAAGATTATACCTTGATTCTGTTTGCTTTTCTTTCCAAAGAATTTGTAGTTTATATTTATCTTCAGGAGGTAGCAATTGAGCCACAGCATACTGGTTTGAAATTGTCTCATCTTTGTGTTCTTTCTCTTTCTGTACTTTAACTTTTTTGCCTCTATACTCATAATCTGATATCTCAGTAGTCTTCCTTGCTTTAGCTTTGATATTTTTAATCATGGAATTCTATAGATTTGTTTGTCTTGATTATGTCAGATCATCGGCTTTTATTGCACAAACTTTTTGGGTTAAGTCATGGACTTCTTCCTTCACTAACTGATTCTGCAACTGAGAATTTTGACAATCTTTCACATTTGTATTTGTCTCACAATGTTTTGTTGCAAAACATTGTTGTGTTATCTCATGGACCTCTTTCTGATGGAGCTCTTTGTCCACCACTTCAAAATTTTCATGGACCTCTTTCTGTAGCACTTGAGAATTTTCATCGTTTATTGTATGACCTTCATTGTTTGCATCTGCCCCATAATGTTTTACTCCACAAACTTCTTGGGTTATTTTTAGCTTTGATATTTTTAATCATGGAATTCTATAGATTTGTTTGTCTTGATTATGTCAGATCATCGACTTTTATTGCACAAACTTTTTGGGTTAAGTCATGGACTTCTTCCTTCACTAACTGATTCTGTAACTGAGAATTTTGACAATCTTTCACATTTGTATTTGTCTCACAATGTTTTGTTGCAAAACGTTGTTGTGTTATCTCATGGACCTTTTTCTGATGGAGCTCTTTGTCCACCACTTCAAAATTTTCATGGACCTCTTTCTGCAGCACTTGAGAATTTTCATCGTTTATTGTATGACCTTCATTGTTTGCATCTGCCCCAGAATGTTTTACTCCACAAACTTCTTGGGTTATCTCATGGACCTCTTTTTCAACCAATTGGTTATGCAATCGAGAATTTTCATCTTTCAATTGTTGTATTTGTGCTGTGAGTAGCCTGTTATCCTCTTCAAGTTTATTTATGTAGATGGTCTTCACTATGTTGTCAAGTTGCAAATTGTTGTTCTCAGTTTGAAGTTTCTCAAGTGTTTGTTGATGAATTTGTTCTTCTCCCTCAGGTGCATCATTGAGTATAATGTTGTAGAAGCCATTAAAGTCTTCATTTGCTGGCTTTTGTTCTTGGTGGCATTCTTCAGCATATTGACCATCTTCTTCTTCATCTTCTTCATCTTCTTCAGAATCTTCTTCTTCTTCTTCAGTATTTTCAACATCTTGTTTTTGTTGTTCTTGTTCTTGTACTTCTTGTTCTTCTTCTTCAGCATCTTCTTTTTCTTCGTCTTTAGTATTTTCAGCATCTTCTTTTTCTTCTTCTTCAGTGTCATCAAGTTCTTCATCACTTTCCTCACTCAATTGAGCACTAGTTACCTATAGGTCAACATACAATAGATATTAGTTTTTGAAATAATTGAAGTTTAGGAAACTAAAAAGTTTCTCAGTAATAATTCAGTGTATAAAAATAGGGATTTTTCCTAACTTGAATTGAAATTCAAATGAGATGAGGATGTGACCTATCTTGTTGTCAGCTGATGTAGTGATATGACTTTCATACGCTTATGTAATTTGATAAGATTCCACTTGATCACCCTTGGGCATGCTTCGCTAACTTCAGGGTGGATGATCAGTGTGTGCTCACACAACCAATACTACAAAGC